TTTCACCTTGATGGCTTTGTTAGTCGCCCCATTTGCCTCTTTTGGCGTTCTGATAACCCAAGGGTGATTGACGAAAATGAATTCACCACAACGTGTCACTGTTTGTTGTGGATTTTGTAATGGAGGCATAATTGGATGATACTTTTTTGAAAATCAAACAGGCCAAGCAGGGTCTGTTGATGGTGTTCTAGATCGTGTTTATGGCATTACTTAAAATCAAAGGGCTATCACAGCAGGCAAAAGTCACGAAGAAGTCATGAAAAACTTCGGCAAAGGAGTGTGTATGTGTATGGAAAGCAATGGAGGTCATTTGCTCGATGAATTATTCCATTAATAGCCCTATTCTATGTACTTTAGTGTTCAAAAAGAAATTTACTATCGAAAGACTTAAAACAGTGTTTTTTATTTAATTCCAAACTTTCCTTAATTGTGGGACCCCTTTTATAACTAGAAGCTGCTATAACCAGTATTTGGAAAATACAATACATCGAGGTCTATCAACCGTTACTATATATTTATGCATATATATAATATATAGATATTTAGTAGATGATTTCTATTATTATTAGGAGTGCGATTAACTTACTTGGTAAAATTTGCCACTCTGCTCTTGAGTGCTTGATTCATGTTGCAAATCGTTACACTGGGAAACGGTTCACGGACAATGAAGGCGGGTTCACTATTGATGCTTATTATTGTGGGCGAAATCGACCATTTTACTTTTACGAGGTAAACGAAACTTATGCTAACTGCCACTATGACCACAAATGTTGCGATAAAAAATGTCCTGAAATTACAACAAAGCAAGCAATGAACGGAATGAATGAACAGAGGTCAAATAATCATTAGGGATACATATACACGTATGTGGGGTCTATTTTACCGCTGCGCAAATTATATACATGAAAAACATACTTTTATACCTAACAAAATATAGACTTATTTCATATATTTAAACTTATGAATTGGCACGTCCGATCAGTTCGGCTCTTCAAACTAGACTCTCTCTCTGTACGCTTGTTTAACGTCTGGTTTAAATGTCTCTTTCATTCGATTAGTGTTGCCTATGCGTACCCGGTTTCGTCCAATGAATAGGGATGCATGTTAAGATAATAAGAAGGTGGTTCTTTAATTGTGATGTCCACTCCTAGTCATCCTTTGTTCGTCCGTCAATCTCACATATATTTTTTCGTATTTCTGAGCACCTTTATCAAGACGTCTTCCGATTTAAACTAATTGCGAATGCGTTTCATTGTACGTTTCATGTACATTCTGTTTCACTATTTTAAAGAGTAATTTTTTTATTTTCATTTCTTAGCAGACTTAGTTTGCTACGGTGCAACCATTATCCATTTTACGGTTTCAAAAAGACGCTGCTGAAAATCTTAACTTTTAATCGATTATATTTTGTTTTAGTTAAAAGTCAATGATTTTTGAAAATAGATGACTCACCCACCGCACAAGCCGTTCTTTCAAAAGTGGCCACATTTCGTGCTTTAAGAACAGATTATGGTGCCCATAATTGTCCAACTACTCAAACATTTTGGTGAAATTAAAAAAAAATTTTAAGACACTGGATAGGTTACAAATATTACAAGGCCTGCCATCATCGTTTTACTCATTTCACCTCGAATATTGCTACTGTAAGTCAAAGTGTTACCGAAGACGTTCTTAAGAGTGGCAAGTTTCTTCACTTCTTTTAAGCTCACACTTACGCCCATATGAAATCCACCTCATACAAGAACTGAAGTCAGCTGAGCATGAACCACGCCTTACATACGTCGATTGGGTGCTTGAACAAGCAGTGGCTGTAGAGCAGTAGATGGCGATTTTTCGAACAAAAATTTCTTCAGCGACGAGGCACATTTATCACTCGGGGGATACACGGAAATAAGCAATACTCTCTCATTTGAAGCTCCGAATACCCTCAACTAATTGAAGACAGGCCACTGCAGCCAACAAAAAAGCTTACTTTCTGATGAGCTCTTTGGGCCGGTTGAGTGATTGAACCTTACTCCTTTTGAAATGACAACGGTGAGACTGTCTCCGTCAATTCCGCTCGCCTTTTTTTTGGCTTGCAATTGAAGAACACGACTTAGACAATGAGCCCTTGAGCAAGATGGTGTCACTTGCCACACAACACGAGCGATATGGCTTTATTTCGGAAAAAATTTCCCTGCCGCGTAACCTCAAGTCTTGGCGATGGATAGATGGAACGAAGTTTGCAAAAATTTTCCAGGCGATCATTTGATTGATGTATGTGAATATTAAAACTTTGCAATATAACAGGATTTTGATGAAAAAAATTATTTCAAATGAATTTTTTCTACGTTTTTCTCGAAATGGTTAACCCGTTATAATGAAAACGAAGAAGATTCAGGCTGAAAAATCTCGTTTGTTCGTTTTTTAATTTGATGACATAAGCCAGTCGAAACATAAATTTCTA